AATTATTTTTTAATATAATTTCTTGGGTATGTGCCCATGGAACCTCACAAATATGATATAATAATAATCTTATGAGGATAAAAATGTAATAATGGAATTCTTAAACTCGATGAAATAATCTTGATGCATTCTTTAACTCAGGCCTGCGGCCTTCGTTAAAGAATACATCAAAATTAGTTCATCTCGTTTAAGAATTTCCATTATTACATTTTTTTCCTCATAAGATTATCATATTACCAACATTGCTGATCTTTTTTTCAGCCCCTGGTTTACCGAAGAATTGGAAGTTTCTACAACAGAAGAGACCATGCGATAAATATTTCCTTTCTCCAGAAGGAGTTAAACTTAGGTAAGCTTTTAGTTGATATCATTCATTAGTTTACAGGTCACAGTGGTATGTAGGTATGTAGTTAGCCCTATCAGTCAAAAATCTCAGTTTAAAACTTTTAAACAAAGTTAAAACATTCGGTGGGTATATGGAGTTCGACAGTCAAAATTTGAGGCAATCCAGTTTAGGGATTCCTGAGTTTTGATCTAAGAAGTATTAGCAGTAAGAGACTTGGAGACCATCTTGGAGATTTAAGTGTTGTTAGCAATTCAATAAATCAAGTAATGCGAAACGATTATTTCGAATTTTAGCTAGTTATCTCAAAGTTCTTTCGGTCGTCCGATGTTATTCCGGTTATGATGTGCTTTCGATTGGTTCGTTTTTCGATCGGTTTTATCTATATTTTCTTTTAAGGCCATAATTTGGCATACTTTAGTAGTAGCACATGTTTTTTTAAATTCTTTATTCTGAACATTATTGACCTTATCAGAAAATATATGCTAAAAACGACCCGAAAATGTTCCAAAAACGATGCAAAAATGAACGTGTTTTAACGATCGTTTCAGGATCGTTTTAAAAAATATGTATGAAGGTATGTGGATTGAAGCAATGGATGTATTGGAATAAAGATGAAAGGGTTTTATTTATCATTAATAGTTCAACCAATCTTTATTGGTTAAACTTCAAATCTTTTGTGTTAAACAAGAATCTAAGGAGATCTGAATCTGGAATTATCTAGATCTGGCTCTGAATCTGAAGCTATCTAGATCTGTTTCTGAATCTGAAGAAATCTGTATATGAACTTTTTTGAGTCTGTATCTGAATCTAGATCTAAATATAAATCTGAATCTGCACAATATAGAGTTTTTACAGCCCAGATATACATGTTTAACTTTTACATACATTTTAGATACATAGATTTGCAAGGGTGGTTTGTAAATAAGTATTTACAATTCTTACATATGGTCTATGTAACTTTCACATGCCTCAACAAGATTTCATAAAGAAATATATTAAGATTTAAATTATGGCATTTGAAACAAAGTAAAGATAGTAAACATCATGTTAAGCTCCTTGACCTTAACAAACTCTCTTTTGGTTTTCCAGAAATAAAAGAGAACTCAGAATTTTAATCATATTTAATGAACAAATATTTTAGTCTTAAAACTAGACACTTTTTAAAAAGAAAAGCTTGTAAAAAATATGTAAAGCTCCTTAACAAAGGATATTGTAAATTGTTAAATCTATATATAAATTTGGCTTGTCTGTCTGTTTGCCTGTCTGTCTGTCTGTCTGTCTGTCTGTTTGTATCCAATAAACGTCAAAACGGCTGAACCGATCGGGCCCAAATTTTTTGTGGGACATCTAGGGACCCCAGGGAAGGTTTATGAATGATTGAAATTTTAAATATTTGTCTCCATCAAAATTCAATCTTCATTAAATTT